CTCTCTCTCAAAATAAATAAATAAATAAATAAATAAATAAATAAATAAATGTGTTGACTTTTATAAAAGTCTAATGATATTTTGAGGTTTAGTGTACATTTTAAGTGTTTTCATGCTTGGTTACATTATGTTTGTACTTTTTAAAATTTTTCTTTCATCCACACTTGCATCTAAATGATCTTAAACGTGAATTTGAATGGCTTTGATGAATTCATTTTTTCAAGTTTAGGATTAGTGGTTTTGTTTTTTACAGAAATAATAGATGTTCATTGTAGGCACATTAGAAAATCTAGATACTCTTCCTTACCCCCACCCTCCCCCCCTCAACGTCATCTGTTCTCTGGTTGGATTTCGTTTTAAGGAAGAAAAGGGAATTGTGATTATATACTCATCTAGCTTTTGCTCTCAAGAGTCCCTGTGACTCACCTTTTAGTCAGTGGGCCTTAATTTCCTCCCTTTATGAAAGAGACAAATACTTATTTGATAGGAACTTTGTGATGCTTAGATAAATGTAGTATTTTGTTTCTGTTGGTCTTTTTTGTCGGGGAGGAGCTGGGAGGGGCGGAGTGATTACTTGAACAATGTTTCTATGGTCAAAACTATCTGTGGTTTTTCTATCCACATTTCTTAAAGACGTTGCCAAAGTGCTGATAGAAAAAGTGTAGCCCGGCCAGCGTGGCTCAGTGGTTGATTGTCAGCCTATGAACCAGGAGGTCACGGTTTGATTCCTGGTCAGGCACATGCCCAGGTTGCGGGCTGGAACCCCAGTGCGGGATGTGCAAGAGGCAGCCAATCGATGATTCTCTCTTACCCTTGATGTTTCTATCTCTCTCTCCCTCTCCCTTCCTTTCTGAAATCAATAAAAAGTATATATTTTTTTTAAAAAAAAAAAAGAATAGAAAAAGTGTGAAAATGCTTTGACTTTGGTAAGGGAAGTACATTTGAAGATATTACAATAAAAACCCACATTCCTAATTAAAATCTTTTCTTCAACATACATAGATGAAGGGAAATTAGACTTAGTCATACATTCGCAGGCTACTGACTGGTCTGGGAAATCTGTTTGGTCATGTTGGCTTAGTTATCTTGACCACTCATTGGATTTGGGCTATGACAGAAATTATTTACAAAACAAAATAACAAGCAAGCAAACTAATATTTATTCGGGATTTTTTACTGTTTATAGCATATATGTTGTGAAGAGCTGTGTTGTTGTTTTTTTAGATTAAGAAAAGCATTGTAAAAGGCACCCAAATTGAAAAGAAGTAAAACTGTCATTATTTGCAGATGACATGATCCTGTATATAGAGTACCCTAAAGACTCCCCCAAAACACTAGAACTGTTTATAAATGAATTCAGTGAAGTAGCAAGATACAAAATAAATTTCTAGAAATCAGTTACATTTTTATACACCAATAATGAACTATCAGAAAGGGAAACTAAGAAAATAATTCCATTTAAAATCGCATTAAAAAATACCTTGGAATAAATTTACTCAAGGATATGTAAAAGACCTATACTCAGAAAATCATAAGACATTGAAGAAGATACAAATAAATGGAAGCATATACTGTATTCATGGATAGGGAGAATTAACATAATTAAAATGTTCATACTACACAAAGCAATATATAGATTGAATGCGATTTTTTTCAAGATACCAAAGGCATATTTTACAGAACTAGAACAAATGTTCCAAAAATTTATATGGAACCACAAAAGACACTGGATAGCCACAGCAATCTTGAAAAAGAAGAACAAAGTTGGAGGAATCATGCTACCTGATATCAAACTATACCACAAGGCCATAGTAATCAAAACAGCATGGTACTGGCATAAAATCAGACATACAAATCAATGGAACCAGAATAGAGGCCAGAAATAAGCTCACATTTTTATGGTCAGTTAATATGTGACAAAGGCAAGAACATGCAGTGGAGTAAACATAATCTGTTCAATAAGTGGCATTGGGAAAATGGGACAGATATATGCAAAAAAAATGAAATTAGACCACTTTCTTACACCACGCACAAGAATAAACTCAAAATGGGTTACAGACTTAAATGTAAGACTCAAAACTATAAAAATCGTAGAAAAAAACATAGGCAGTAAAATCTCAGACGTTGCTTGTAGCAATCTTTTTTCTGATATGTCTTCTCAGGCAAGGCAAACACAAATGGGACTACATCAAACTAAAAGTTTTTGCACAACCAAAAAACAACAACAAAATGAAAACCCACTGAGTGGGAGAACATATTCGCCAATGATACATCCGAAAAGGGGTTAATATCTAAAATTTATAAAGAACTTGTATAACTCAACACCTAAAAAACAATCCAATTAAAAAATGGGTAAAGGGCCTGAAAAGACACTTTCCATAGAGGACATGCAGATGGCCAATAGACATATGAAAAGATGCTCTACTTCACCAATCAGAGAAATACAAATTACAGCCACAATGAGGTGTCACCTCACACCTGCCAGAATGGCTATCAGCAATGAGTCAGCAAACACGTGTTGTCCAGGATGCGTAGAAAAGGGAACCCTCGTGCACTGTTAATGGGACTACAGATTGGTGCAGCCACTTTGGGAAACAGTATGGAGTGTCTCAAAAAATTAAAAATGGAACTGCCTTATGACCCAGCAATTCCACTTCCGGAAATATATCTGAAGAAACCCGAGACATTGATTTGAAGGAATATATGTTCATTGCAACATTATTTACAATAGCCAAGATTCTAAGGCAGCCCAGATGCCCATACAGATGATGTGTTATAGAATTGTACATCTAAAATCTGTATAATTTTATTAACCAGTGTCACCCCAATAAATTCAATAAAATTTTTTAAAAGAATTATAGAGGACTTCCGCCTCGGCTCCCTTCTCCCCCGCCCTTCCCCTCTCTCCCTGGCCTCCTGGCCTCCCCCTCCCAGGTGCCCACTCCTCTCCCTCTTCCCCGTCCCTTTCCCAGCACCAAAAAAAAAGGGGGGGCATTATATGAAATTTATCTCCCCACGTAAATGTTTTCTCCACCTACTCATTGGTCTGCAAGCCAGGAGTCTGTTCACTTCCCTTGGGCTCGATGCCTTTGCTGTTCATAGGCTCATTTTTTAGGCATTCCAGTGCGGGTAAAAAATGTCTAAAGTGTGTATTGTTGCCCTAAAAGTAACTTCTCTGGAGTTTATGAGGAGATAGTGTTTTGCCTCAGGTTGTTCATTCAGAAGTACGGTGGTTTGGTATTTTTGACTTACTGAAATAAGCACTGTCATTCACAGTTCAATATAGAGAACCATAATTTGGAAAAGGGTAATTTAGAATTCTATGTGGGAAAAAATGGCATATTTGAACATCAGCTTCACCTGCTCAGGTTATTACTGACACGTTGTTATGCCGGGGAACACATAGCCAAGAATGATTTTATATGATACTGAGGGGGTTTCTCTCCTCACAAGCAGAGGGTTACATCGCCACATGTTCTTCTGCTTTTTTTTCTTTTAAAAAAATGTTTTTATTGATTTTAGAAAGAGAGGAAGAGGGAGAGCGATAGAAACATCGATGAGAGAAAAAACATTGATTGGCTGCCTCCTGCATGCCTTTAGTTTAGCTTTGAGTTCATATTTTAGTGTGATGTCACAGTAAGTAACAGATGCTGTCCATATGATACATGGATTTGTGTGTGTGTGTGTGTGTTCATAAGGACTGTGCTTTTCTTTCATTAAACTGAAGAGCTGAGGTGTGTTGTAGCATGAAGATGTATTGATTTTTCCCCTTTGCTTTACCTGTTACCTGCCATTTAATGAAAAAATCTTGCTCGAAAGTTGCAGATCCCTTGAGGGCAACAAACACGCAAGACTCAAAATGAAACTGGGTTTCTGAAACATGCCGTTTGTATCAGAAGCTGATTTGGTCTTGACTTTGAAATTATCCCCTTTTCTTTGAAGTGGTCATATTTTGGAGTGGTTTTAAATTTTAGAATTTCCTGAAGTGAACATGAACATATTTTAATATTTTCTTATGTGGTGGTTATACACGAGTTTATAGAAAGCTTTATCTCCCAAAACCTATTTATCTCTTTAAAACCTAAACAATACTTCAGGTTTGAGAACATATGGGTGACGGAAAGTGTTTTGGGAAGGTATTCCAAATGGTTTTAGGTAGCTATGTTATAGATCTCCTTGTCTTTTAAAGTATCTGGGCTTTTGTGGTTTAGTACTTTGAGTTTGTGTTTTTATATTAGAATCATCTTTATAGTATAACGAAGAGAAAATTAGGCATTTTTCATTTACTATTGCTATCTTTTGTTATGTATCTTTTTTCTTGTGGTTGATATGTTCTGAAATGTGGAGCTTAAGCTTGTGGCTTTATCAAATAGGAATGGGAATTTAAATTGTCTAAATCATCTTTGATCGTTTTCTTTCTTTATCCTTTACATCTAATGAGCACATTTTGTTGACCTCCCCCCTTTTTTGGCTCTCTGCCACCTTCGGTGATGCCTGTGTTCCTCAGCCCTCTGTTTCCTGTCCCTACTCTACATTATAACTGAATCCCCTGTAAGGTGCCTTGGGCTAGGCTGTGTCTTCATCACCCCCTGGATATATTGCACTTACTCGTGGTGAAGCTTTACTCACGTAGCCTTCTCCTCAACCTGTCTTTTCATTTCCTCTGCCTTTTCAGATCCCTCCCGTCCCTCAGCACCTAGCTCACATCTCATGCTCTGCACAGGACCTTCCACAGCCTATCCATTCTACATCTTTCTTGTCCTTTTAAATAATTATATGGCACCTTTAAAAAAAAATACTATTTCTTGCCCGGGCCAGTGTTAAGTGGTTAGAGTGTCGGCCTGCACACTGAAGGGTTGTAGGTTCGATCCCCAGCCCTGGTCCGGGTGAGTGCAGGAGGCAACCGATGGATGTCTCAACAATGTCTCTCTCTCTCTCTCTCTCTCTCTCTCTCTCTCTCTCTCTCTCTCTCTCTGTCTCTGTCTCTCAAGAAACGTCATTCACGCCCTCTACTGGGGATCAAGCCTGCAACCCACGCATGTACCCTGACCGGGAATCAAACCGGCAACCTTTCCATGCATGGGACAACACCCAGCCAACTGAGTCACACTGGCCAGGCCTCAATGCTTCCTGATGAAGGCATAGGATTGAAAGGAACCACCCAAGGAACAGTGTTAAATGTGGTGATGTCTCTTTCCACCCTTTGGAGAAACTTACTTATACCATGTTTAGGTTGTGGTTCAATCCCATTTAGTGTCATACCTATTCCAAGACTGTAGGTAATACAGCCCCTTAACCCAGGCACCCCCAACCTGAGACTCATAAGCTAATTTTTGTGTTTGAAAGTCAAATGGAAATTATGGCAAAACTAGATAGTCTAGCCAAAAAGTTATGATAGGCAATTCTTGTATTTGGTTAGTAAAAAATAAAAAGGTGCGACCTGAATGCAGAGTCTTACAGTTTTTTAAAACAATGCTCCATGGGAACATGGCAGTGGGTGGGAGGGTGGATAAGGGAGTACACGGTAGCCCTTAATGTTGAAAAGGGTGGGAATCACTGTGTGGCTGTAGGCAACCAGGTGAATCAGGCAGGAAAATGGAAACAAATCGTCAGCACAAACAGTAAATGTCAGTGGAGGGAGGGAACCCCTTACGTGTATAGTGGAGAAAACTGGGGGCTCCAAAGGTGAAGTCACCGGCCCAGGAGTATGGACGAGCCACATAGAGCCGCCCAGACCCTCTGACTCAGCCCCGCGGAAGTTCTGGTTGTCCGCTCAGTCTCATTGCATCACGGCTGGTAGAGCCCCGTTTGTAGTGTATGGCCTATCCAGTAAGTCAGTAAAGTCATTTTAGATAAAATATCGTTGTTTTCAGAAATTATTGTTCTACCACCTTTGGGCTGTTAGCATCCAGATAGCCTATTTCATTTTTTTATTTATTATTTTTAATTGAGGTATAATTCATTTAACATATAATTTACCATTTGTAAGTGTTCAATCCATTGGCTTTTAGTATTTTCAGAAGGCTATGCAACCATTACCAATATCTATTTCCAAGATATTTTCATCATCTCAAGAAGAAACCTGGAACCTTCCTACCCCTAACTCTTATCAGTCACTAATTTACTTCCCATAGATTGGCTTATTCTGATTATTTCGTATAAATGGAATCATACAATGTATAGCCTTTTGTGTGTGGCTTCTTTCACTTAGCACAACGTTTTCAGGATTCATCTATCAGTGCTTCATTCCTTTTTATGACTAGTAGTATTCCACTGTGTGGATATATATTTTATTTATGGATTCATCAATTGGTGTATATTTGGATTGTTTCTATTTTTTGGTTGTTATGAATAATGCTGCTGTGAACATTTATACACAAGTTTTTGTTTGACTGTATATTTTCAGTTCTCTTGAGTATATGCCTAGGAGTGGAATTGCTGGGTCATATGGTAACTCTCTGTTAAACAGTTTGAGGAACTGCCAAGCTGTTTTCAGAAGTGGCTGTACCTGTTGATATTCCATCAGTAACGTGTGAGGCTTCAGTTTCCCACATCCCAGCCAACACTAGCTCTTTCCCAGCTTCTTCTTATAACCATCCTACTAGGTATAAAGTAATATCTTATTGTGGTTTTGATTTGCATTTTTCTAATGACAAAAGATGATCATTATTTTCCTGTACATATTGGCCATTTGTATATGTTTTTAAGTCTATTCAAATGCTTTGCCCATTTTAAAACTGGGCATTTGTCTTCTTATTGTTGAATTGTAGGAGTTTTTTCCCTATATTCTGGATACTAGACCCTTATCAGATCTAGTTTTACAAATATTTTTTCCCATTCTCTGGGTTGTCTCTTTACTATTTTTGTTGTTGTTGTTATTAATCCTCACATGAGGATATTTTTTCCATTGCTTTTCAGAAGGAATGGTAGGAAGGTAGGGAGGAGGAGGAGGAAGAGGAGAGACAGAGAGACAAGAGAGAGAGAGGGAGAGAGAGAGAGAGAAACATTGATGTGAGAGACACACATCAATAGATTGCCTCCCACAAGCAAACCTGCAACCCAGGTATGTGCCCTTGACCAGGAACTGAACCCAGGACCCTTTAGTGCGCAGACTGGTGCTCTAATCACTGAACACAATGGCCGGGGCATCTCTTTACTTTCTTGATAGTGTCCTTTGACACACAAAAGTTTTTAACTTTATAAACTTCAGTTTTATTCTTTCTTTGCTTGTAGTCTGTTTCATTTTTTAAGCTTAATTTCTCTTCACAATCTTTTCCTTTTTCTCATCTTCACTACCTCATGTCCACTATGGAAAAATGCACGTACCCAATTCTAAAATTACATAAATCTCTGCTCTGCCATCTGTAATCTACAACTTCTTTAAGAAAGATCTTCTCGCCCAGCCCATGGGGCTCAGAGGTTGAGCATCCACCCATGAACCAAGTGGTCAGGGTTGTGGGCTCCATCTCCAAGAGAGGGCGTGCAGGAGGCAGCTGATCAGTGATTCTCATCATTGATGTTTCTCTCTCTCTCCCTTCTTCTCTCTGAAATCAATAAAAATATATTTTAAAAAAGAAAGAAAGATCTTCTCAAATAGAAATGAGAAAGGAGCCAGTAGTGAAATCCACATGCACTGGGAAGTTTGCCTGTGTCATCAGATTAAATAGGTGTGGGTATTGTTATTCTAGCTTTACAAGGAACACATTGAGATTGAGTAAGATGAGTTGGCTTGTCCAAGGTGATATACCTGGTGAAGTGGCATATTGGGGTTCATACTAAGATCTCTTATTTCTATTTTTAAAGATTTTTTTCATTTAATTCATTAATGATAGTTATGCTGGAGAGATTAGAAGAAAAAGGTAGGGGGAAGAGCAAAGGAGGCAAAGAAGAATTTAATTTACAAACATAATCTAAACGTACATTTCAAATATGAAAAAGTTAAATCTGCTCTTTAGCAGGAGTTCTTAGATTGGGGGTTTGGATCCCTAGGAGATCCATGGATGGGGTTCTAGAAAAGGGCAAACTCCTTGATATCACATGCAAAATTTTGTCTGTTCATTTTTATGAAAGGGAAGATTTGTGCTCTTCTAAAGATTCTCCAAAGTTTAAGAGTTGCTGCTAAGGCCGAAACCGGTTTGGCTCAGTGGATAGAGTGTCGGCCTGCGGACTGAAAGGTCCCAGGTTCAATTCCGGTCAAGGGCATGTACCTGGGTTGCGGGCACATCCCCAGTGGGAGATGTGCAGGAGGCAGCTGATCGATGTTTCTCTCTCATCGATGTTTCTAACTCTCTATCTCTCTCCCTTCCTCTCTGTAAAAAATCAATAAAATATATTTTAAAAAAAAGAGTTGCTGCTAAGGAGAGGAACATGCAGACTTATGGGAAGGAAAGGCAGGTGATATATTAGCAATTTGTCTTTTTCCATTGGCCATGTTCTGGGTATGTTATGGTTTGGGTTAAGCCTTCCCATCTGGTTTCAAATATTTTTGCCTTAGACTATTTGTATATACCCCTTGGTTTAAGATTAGTTCATTTAAGCTTCTTTTCTAAGTGTTAATTTTTGTTAATGAAAAAATAATAACATTCCTTTTGGTAGGTCAAGTATATACATTAAATTCCATAATTTCCTGATGTTGTTAAGCATCTAAAATATTTGTGATTTAAATTTTTGTAAAATATAGGAATGTAATAAGGGCACTTCACTTATTTTCATTTTCTTAATGAGTTTTTAATTCAAGTTCACAATGATCTAGTCAAATTGACACGTACATAGGCCTCTCATAATGGCTCACATTACAGGTAGCCATAGTGTGGATGTCCTGCTAAATAGATCTCCGTCTAAACTAAGGTGTTCCTTGTAGGAGTTTAAGAAAAGGAAGATTCACAAGCCTTTTAAGTCTCTTATTTTTCTTAATAAAGCTAAGAGGCGGGATTTCAATTAATAATTATCAAGATACTCACCTTGACAGCATTTTAAAAATGGACTAGTGCATTAAAATAATTGTGTTCCATAAAACAACATTTGGTCAGGCTAAACTGAGACCTTCCAAGATTATGTATATTGTGGATATGTTCTCCTGGTTGTTTTTAGGGCACTGGATTTTATTTGCATGTTCATGTAGCCAGGACTTAGTCAGATTTTAATGGAAAAGCTAATAGTAATATACAATTCTTACCTGCCCTAGCTGGTTTGGCTCAATGGATAGAGCGTCGGCCTGTGGACTGAAGAGTCCCGGGTTCAATTCTAGTCAAGAGCACATGCTAGGGTTGCGGGCTTGATTCCTATTGGGGGGCATGCAGGAGGCAGCCAATCAATGATTCTCTCTCATCATTGATGTTTCTATCTCTCCCTCCCTCTCCTGTTCTCTCTGAAATCAATAAAAATATTTAAAAAATAAAATAAATAAGATAAAATAAAACTCTTACCCTTCTTTTAAAAATAATTCCTTTGTTGCCTTGACCTGTGTTGCTTAGTTGGTTGAGTGCATGCACCAGAGGTCTGTGGTTCAATTCCTGTCAGGACACCTGCCTGGGTTGTGGGTTCAATCCCCAGTAACGGGAGTGCAGGAGGCAGCCAATTGATGTCTCTCCCTCTGCCTTCCTCTCTCTCTCAAATCAATAAAAACATATTTTTAAAAAGTAAAAATAAAAAAAACTCTGTGGTGAAATTATATTCTCCTTTCGATGATGTTTGTGAATGGAATTGAACAGTGGAAAGATGTTTTAAATATACATTGTGACCGTCAGGTCCTGAAGTGTAGCCTCCTTAGTATTTAATTTCTTGTTTGGCCCTAGGGGGTTATTGGTGAAAGTTAAGGTAGCTTCAGCAACTGTGTGATGAGTAATGCACATTGGTTTTTATTGTCTTACTAGAGGCCCAGTGCATGAAATTCGTGCATGGGAGGAGGGAGGGGATCAGCCTGGCCTGCACCCTCTCCCAATCCGGGACCCCTCAGGGGATATCCAACTGCCAGTTTAGGCCCAATCCCACAGGGATCCCTGCGGGATATGGCCTAAACTGGCAGTCGGACATCCCTCTCGCAATCCGGGACTGCTAGCTCCTTAATCGCTCGCCTGCCTGCCTGCCTGATGGCCCCTAACCGCCTCTGCCTGCCTGCCTGCCTGATCGCCCCTAACCACTCACCTGCCTGCATGATTGCCCCTAACCGCCTCTGCCTCCCTGCCACCGCAGCTTCATCCGGACAGACATCTGGAATGACGTCCGGAAGGTCGTTCGGCTGTCCGGTCTAATTAGCATATTGTGCTCTTATTATTCTAGATATGGAAATGTGAATTTACCCTTTGCATGAAGTAATATCTCAAATACAACCAACAGTAACCAGCACTCTCTCTTAATAGTCCTGTAGTCCATTTCCCCACTAGAGCTTTCAGCTCTGTGGCATGTTATCTATCTCATGAAGTAATTAGGTGAGTTTCACCAATCATTTCAGCACTGCATCATATCCTTTTAGCCTCCAGTAGCAGTTTCTTTGCCTCCTACCAGCTTCCTAATCCTTTTTTATGTATTTTGGGTATTTTGATGAAGCAGCACCCCACTTCCAGATTCCACTTGTATAAGCTGGGATAGATCAGGTTATGCTGTAGGCATAAACAACACAAAATCCCAGTGGCTTGAAAAACACACTCTGTGTAAAAGTAAATTTTTAAAAAATCCACTGCACTATGCATATATCCTGTAAGTCCTTTAGTCCCTCAGGGACCCCAGCTGATAGCAAAGATAGCCGTCATCACCTTGAAGATTGCTGGTCCCTGTGGCAGAGGGAACGAGGTCTGGAGGCTCTCGTCTTGGTTAGAAGATGCCCTGGCCTTCTGTGTGTCACATCTACTCCCGATGTGCTGCCGGGCAGGGGAGGGTTGGAAAGTGCAGTCCTACCCTGTGCCCAGAAGTATTTGGGAAGAAGGTATTAATGGCCGACCACAGAGGCTTTTTCTTCCTTCCCTCCTTCCTTCCCTCCTTCCTTCCTTCCGTTATTTATTTTTTGTCTTCCTGACTTTTATTTAACTCTTAGCTTTTGCTGGTTAGATGAATTTTATTGTTTCTCTTCCCTTGCTTAATTTGAGATCATTAATGTAAGTTTATATAACAGTACTTGTAGTAGTTTACATTATTTCCAGGGTCAGAAGTTTTGGTACATGTGAAATAAAGTTACTGGGATTTTCCTACTTAAAATATGAAGTGTGAAACTGTTTATTGCAAAAAGATCTGTGATTACAGGAATGATTAATTTTAAGTTATTTTTTGGAGTGTCACTTTTCATAGTAGAGATAGACGATGAGCTTTGGAGTCAGGCAGGCCTAGGATCAAACACTGCTTTTGTCATTGAATAGATATGTGATCTTAGACAAATAAGCCTCTCAGAAGCATAATTTTCTCATTAATAAATACCAAAAAAGTAAATTTATCTATGCAGATGTCAAGTAAAATATAGTAGCATTTATCACCACTCCATTCTGAAATTCCACTAAAATGAAAGTAAAATAATTTTTAAAGAACAAATCCATACAGAGAAAGAAAATGGAAGAAAAGAATAATGTAAAAATCAACCCCAAAGTTTTGCAGTGATTATTAAATGGAAATAATAGATAATAAGCACCCTCACAGTGCCTGTGCATGTAGCAGGCATTCAGTAAATACTGGTTTTCTTCTTTTGTCAACTAGACAGGGTATGTGTTTGCAGTCATTTCATATGACTCAGAGGTTAGGTGGTTGGCTAAACAGCAATGTGAGGTATGTCACAAAGCAAATTACATGCCTCTCTGATCTTTTTTTTTTTAAGTGATGGTTTTATTTTTCTTGGAACCATATCAACTTGATGGTTACTGTTTCTTAGAATTTAGATTTCTGCAACTGACACGTGAAGACTCACCCAGTTACTGAGTGGATCTAGTGAGCTATGCATAGAACAAATTTAAAAATACTTGGCAATTTTGAAATTATTCTGATAAACCTAAAAACAATAGTACCTAAAGTAATAATCTATATCTAGATTTAAATTGTTTAAAGCCAGGGACATTTTCTCTTTTCAGTAGTTATGTCAAGTAGCAGGTTTATTTCCTGGTCTGCAGTGCCTAGCCCACTACCACCTTTGTCCGTGAGCCCTCACGGTGGTGGACAGTGGTGTCTGATATTGAAAAGAAAGCCAGCAGCAGAATGCTCTTGTGTGTTCCATGTACGACACATTTATATAACCAGGCTCAATTGTAGACATATATTTTGCCGTATCAGTATGCCTTATAGCATCTAGGATAATGAGTGCTATGCAGTAGCAGCTATTCATTTAGTCATCAAATGTATACTGAACACCTACTAAGGGCTAGGCATTGTGCTAAGCTCTAAAGATATCTCAGTGAAGGGACAGTGACTCCTGCTACCTTAGAATTTACTTAGAATCTAATTCTAACAAAATGTTTGTTGAATTCATGTAACCCAGTAAAATAATGGCCCACACTGAACCATTTAAAAGCAGAAGAAAGAATTGTATAGAGAGAGTTTGATCGTTTTAGGCTGTGTTTGCTGTATGGTGTAAGTGCATGTTATACAAAGGAAATAGTGGTATCTGACTTTTTTCTTCTTTGTTTTTCTTTGTAGATAAGATGCTCCAAGTCACTTGCAGCTGATCTTCAAAAGAAAAATCACTAGCTCTGCTCTTGCCATAATACCAACCCTTTGACTTACGCTTTGGTGCTGCATCACTGGAAGAATTGCTCACGGGTTCCAGGAATACCTTTTTTTTTTTTTTTTTTCATTTGAGTGATTCTTTGTGGATGGAAAAAGATTTGAGTCTTGATAATTACGCTGTTTTAAAGCTATTTCTTTATAGTCTGAACTGTTTCATAAATCAGGCCACTTACCAATGAGCCACACAGCCGGCTCCTGTCAGGAGCTGGTTGAAAACTGTGCTGCGCATGCAGCAGGGATGGCACAAGAGGACAGCCGCCGTGCTCCGGTGCCGTCTACCTTCTATCATGGTGCCAACCAAGAACTTGACCTGTCCACCAAAGTGTACAAAAGGGAGTCGGGAAGTCCTTATTCCGTGTTAGTGGACACCAAGGTGAGCAAACCGCATCTCCACGAGACAGAGGAACAGCCGTATTTCAGGGAGACCAGAGCCGGCTCTGACGTGCATGCTGTCAAAGAAGACCGGGAGAATTCTGATGACATGGAGGAGGAGGAGGAGGTCTCTTACAAAAGGGAGCAGATCATCGTGGAGGTAAACCTTAATAATCAAACGTTAAATGTGTCTAAAGGGGAAAAGGGTGTCTCTTCTCAGTCCAAAGAGACTCCTGTTGTTAAGACGAGCAGCGAGGAGGACGACGACGAGAGTGAGGAGGAGGCCACGGACAACAGCAGTGACTATGGGGAGAACGCGAGGCAGAAGAAAAAGGAGAAGGCCGCGGAGAAAGTCGGCGTTGCACAAAGGAGGACGAGGAGAGCTGCCTCTGTGGCCGCGGCGACCGCTTCCCCTACGCCCAGAACTACACGAGGTCGTAGGAAGAGTGTAGAGCCGCCTAAGCGGAAGAAGCGGGCCGCCAAGGAGCCCAAAGCGTCAGTCCAGAAAGCTAAGTGTGAAGAGAAAGAGACTCTGACCTGTGAGAAGTGCCCCAGGGTGTTTAACACGCGCTGGTACCTGGAGAAGCACATGAACGTTACTCACAGGCGCATGCAGATTTGTGATAAGTGTGGCAAGAAGTTTGTCCTGGAAAGTGAGCTGTCCCTTCACCAGCAAACAGACTGTGAGAAAAATATCCAGGTAGGTCTGTCTCATCACCGAGAGGGCACGCTTCGCAGCATAGAGCCTGGCTGTTCAGACTCACCTGGTATCTGCCCGAGAGAATAAGTACACTAGAGGCCGAAGGGACAGATTTCGCCAGTTTAGCTCTTTAACAGCTCCTGCTCTGGTCTTTGCCAAACCCAGGCTTAACATTTTATTTCAAAAGCATTAAATTTAACTGACGCTGGACTAGTGGGAACCCAGGTACTTGGAAGGGGGATCTGTTGTAGGTGACGGCCCCGTAGGTGAAGTCAGCGCCGACTTTGCACTGAGATTCAGAGTTGTTATCATTCATTCTGGCATCTTCTCTGTCGAGGTGGGAAATCCTGGGCAAAGTGCGGGAATAGAGAGCGGTCCCTTTCTAGGCTGGAAAGGATGCCAGGTTCTAGTGCAGGTGCAGCCGATGGGGACAAAAACCGTAATGACTCAGACCCGTGGAAACGGAAGATCTCCAGGAGTGAGTTTGCTTTCACCAGTGGAGAGATGGCAACACTAAATTTGTCAAGAGGCTGAGCCCATGGGAATATGCAAACTTTAAACAGAGGCTGAGCTGGTTGCAAATGTTGCCCGCCTGGCAGTAGGGCTATGTAATGCTACTGTACCATATGGTTAAGGTAACAAAACATGGTGCTCAAACCAGGCTGGTGCCTTGAGAGGACTGTGTTGCAATAGGGTAAAAGGTGTGCTGATTATGTTTTGTCAAGTGAATAATATTACTGTGCTGAGCTATATTGGTTAACACATGCGAGTGCATATCAATGAATACTTATGAAGGTAAGTCTATTAATGCCTACATAAAATATGTAAAATAGACATATTTTGTACCATATTTACGCTAAATTTCTTTTAAAAGATGCAATTGTTTTGTTTTGGTTTGTTTCCTGGAGTGCTCCTTATTTTTCACATTTCCTCTTGCTTTTTTTTTTTTTTAATATATATTTTATTGATTTTCACAGAGAGGAAGGGAGAGGGACAGAGAGTTAGAAACATCAACGAGAGAGAAACATCGATCAGCTGCCTTCTGCACACCCCCAACTGGGGATGTGCCCGCAACCAAGGTACATGCCCTTGGCCAGAATCGAACCTGGGACCCTTCAGTCCGCAGGCCAAAGCTCTATCCATTGAGCCAAACCGGCTACAGCTCCTCTTGCTTTTAATCAACAACTGAGATCATTGCTTTACTTTAAAGAGAGTTTTAAATATATCAAGTATAGCCCGGCCAGTGTGGCTCAGTGGTTGAGTGTCGACCCATGAACCAGGAGGTCAGGGTTTGATTCCTGGTCAGGGCACTTGCTGGGGTTGCTGGCAGTATCCCCAGTGGGGGGCATGTAGGAGGCAGCCAATCAATGATTCTCTCTCATCATTGATGTTTCTATCCCTCTCTCTTCCTCTCTCTGAAATTTTTTTTTTAAATATATACATATATATATATATACATAAATTATATTTGCTAAAATTTCACTGCTTTTTGATTCATCAGTTGTGATTTGATCTCCCAAATGCTGTGTAAATAAGAGAAAACGGAGGCATGGCTTGGTGATGAATTGGTTGCCAGGGTTCAGGCCACAGGGAGTGAAGTGGTGCTGCACCCTAGGGGTCTCGCTAGGTCGGTGCGTTCGTTGCTGAAAAGGTGTATCTTGAACTTGAAGACCTTTATACGGTTTTTTTTTTAACTTAAATTTACTTTATTAAGTTACAGAAAAGGAAGCATTTGGTGAATCTTCTTTTGTGCCTTTCCTCACTGTTTCTCACCATCATGCGTGTGAGCATGCGTGTAGGTTCTGGGGTGCTGCTGAATGAACTCTCTACATTCCTCAGGAACACGGCTTTGTTCCTCAGTATGGATCCTCGTGATCATGACGATCTAGTAACAAGTAGAAATTAAAACCTGTCCACAGAATGGTTTACAGGAGTTGTCTGTCCTTTTCTCAAGCGTATTCATCAGCGGCTTATCTTTTTAACCCTTCTCAGAGTCTTTGTTTCCTGAAGTGACAGTGATGTTAAGAGATCTTTATTTACAGTGAATTCTTTTTTTTTTTATTAAATCTTTATTGTTCAGATTATTACATTTGTTCCTCTTTTTTCCCCCCATAACTCCCCTCCACCCAGTTCCCACCCCACCCTCCGCCCTCACTCCCCACCCACTGTCCTCTTTCATAGGTGCACGATTTTTTTGTCCAGTCTCTTCCCGCATCCCCCACACCCCTTTTCCCCCCCAAGAAAAAGACAGTCCACTCCCTTTCTATACCCTTGATTCTATTATAATCACCAGTTCATTCTATTTACAGTGAATTCTATCGTGTTTCCTTAAGTATCTCAGAGTCTGATTGTTACCTAGAACCTTCTAGTATTGTTTTGATTTAACCAGAAGCACTTTATTTTCATACACTTTATGCCTGATCGTCTAGACCAGTGGTTCTCAACCTTCCCAATGCCGCGACCCTCATGTTGTGGTGACCCCCAATTTCATTGTTACAAATTGAACATAATTAAAGCATAGTGATTCATCACAAAAACAATATGTAATTATATATGTGTTTTCCGATGGTCTTAGGCGACCCCTGTGAAAGGGTCGTTCGACCCCCAAAGGGGTTGCGACCCACAAGTTGAGAACCGCTGGTCTAGACCATTAATGATTCATAACACAAGGAGCTAAGCAGTGTTGCATTCTATAGGTCGGCGATGTTCAACCTTTTTCATCTCGTGGCACATAAACTAATTACTAAAATTCTGCGGCACATCAAAAAATACATTTCCTGCCTATCTGACAAAAATATAGGCATAATTTTTGTTCATTCACACTGGATGGCTATCGTGTTGGCTGTTGTAATATTTTATTTGACAATCTAAGCCAGCGGTTCTCAACCTGTGGGTTGCGACCCCTTTGGCAGTCGAACGATCCTTTCACAGGAGTCACCTAAGACCATCCTGCATATCAGATATTTACATGACGATTCATAACAGTATCAACATAACAGTTATAAAGTAGCAACGAAAATAATTTTATGGTTGGGTCACAACATGAGGAACTGTATTTAAAGGGCCAGAAGGTTGAGAACCACTGATCTAAGGGGTCAGTGCCCCTAACTGAATAGTCAGGTATTGGATGTTTTAAAAACTCTGTGACACACCCACTGAAAATCGCTGCCGTAGGGACTTGCATGAGGCATCTGGAGCTGGGCTATAAGGGAAAAGGGAGAAAGATACTAACCGGTTAGAGCTTATGTTAAATTCTGCCAGAGGGAAATGTTAATACAGCAAATTACATTTGGAAAAATATAATAAAATCTCAGTAATTTGTGTTAACGAAGGTTCCAAATACATTCTCTAAGGTACAAAAATATTGATATACTTCTGCAGATCTATAACCATTAATATGTATTTTGTTTTTTCTTCTTTTATTTATGTTAATTTTAAATTAGTTTGTATTTTCTGGTAAATACCTATTAGTGACCCATGTGTAGGAGGCAGCCGCTTTTGGTAATGCATATATTTTTTAAAAGCTGGCAGGTTCTTTTTATAGGTACAACACAAACTTGATAAAAGCAGTCACTTCTTTGATATTAGTGGGACTTCCCATTTCTTCCTGTCTTATTTTTTGCCGTTGTTTTCATACTCCCAAAGTGTGTCTAAAAGATGCATCTTGGAAACTAGGACACACAGATATTGGTGTCGGACCTGGACTGCATGGCCGAATAGCACGTGTTTGGGTTCTGGCCTTGCGCCGGGACCCTGGCACACCGTGTCTCCTGCCAGCAGGCCGGTCTGGCTTTCCGCAGCCCCTGTGAGTAAGATTCTTTCTGCTTGTCCTGCCCAGTGTGTTTCCTGTAACAAGTCATTCAAGAAGCTCTGGTCCCTTCATGAACATATCAAGATCGTCCATGGATACGCAGAAAAGAAGTTCTCCTGTGAGATCTGTGAGAAGAAGTTCTACACCATGGCTCACGTGAGGAAGCACATGGTCGGTGAGTTCTGTCGGCTTCTCTTCTCACCTACAATTTTCCCTTGTGCTTTGGTGTGTTTCATGCTCTGTACGGGGCAGGATACGAGGCACTGCCTCACTTTAGTCACTTTGGTTGAAATTAAATGCAACATGTCGCCAGGAAGCATCACCAAATTGAACGGTCCAGGCTTCCACACCCAGGTTTCTTTTCACCGTTGCTATTTATTTCCTCTTCAGAACATTGCGATTAAAGCCTCCCATATTAGCATGTGGGAAAGTAAGATGGTGTGATGGCCTTACAGTAGGACACCTACCTTTTTCAGTTGTAGCTTTCGGGTGAACTTACTTTGAGTAAAGTGCCTTCTGTGTTGCAGCGCACACGAAAGACATGCCTTTTACATGTGAAACCTGTGGGAAATCGTTCAAACGCAGTATGTCACTCAAGGTGCACTCCTTGCAGCATTCTGGAGAGAAGCCCTTCAGATGTGAGGTAAGGAAGGTGCCACCGCCAGGCGCAGGCCTCGGGGCTGGAGTAGCGTTCGTCCGTGTGGGGCAGCCGCGAGGCGGGTTCCGAGGTGCGGGGCGTCAGGCTGCGAGGCCACAGCCTGCAGACACGTGCTCTGAGCATCGTGTTATCTCACTGCTCGGAAGAAAAATGGCCCTTTTTTTGTGGTTTTTGTTTTTGTTAATCCTTACCCAAGATATTTTTCCATTGCTTTTTACAGAGAGTGGGAGGGAGGGATAGAGGGGGAGCGAGAGAGAGAGAGAGGAACATCAATGTGAGAGCGAGAGAGACATGGATTGGTTGCCTCCCACACACGCCCCAGTCAAGGCTGAGCATCAAACCTTCAACCGAGGTACGTGCCCTTGACCCGGAATCAAACACAAGACCCTTCGGTGCACTGCGGATGCTCTAACCCTCCGCCACTCCGGCCAGGACGAGAAATGTCTTTTTTTAACACATTGTTAAATTTTGAACTGACACATGAGTTATTTTTCTTTTAGTAAATCAGCAATCATTATATGAGAAATTCCCCTTTTATGAATAACTCAGCTGCAGAATTATAGCAGAGCCAAATAGTTGACAAAAGCAGGTTCTGTGTTGAGTAGGAAAAGTAAGCCTCTCAGAGTGTAGAGGGTGGGCTCAGGCCAGGAGAGCCGTTGTGCTCGGCATCCAGAAGTCTCCCCGTGTCCCTGCAGAACTGTGACGAGAGGTTCCAGTACAAGTACCAGCTGCGCTCCCACATGAGCATCCACATCGGCCACAAGCAGTTCATGTGCCAGTGGTGTGGCAAGGACTTCAACATGAAGCAGTACTTCGACGAGCACATGAAGACACACACTGGTAAGGGCTCCTTGCGGAAGGTACAGCTCGGTCTCAAGTACTTGATGATCACCTGTGAGTCTGTTTATTTCAAAATGTAAACCACCAATTTTCATGCCAAGTGGAAATTTCACTTTAAATAAAAATTCAGATTTATAATACTGAATGATTAGGCTTTTATAACTCTATTTTAAAAAGGATTACTTGTTAGTGCCTTTTAACTTCAGGTTCCTTCAAGAAAATGGATTCTTTACTCGGGGCATGGGGTCTCCTGAAATAGCATGAAACTTGTTTTGTGTGTATTTTTTCTAAGGAAAGGGTTCTGGACCTTTAAAAGCTGGAAGACACTGACTGCTTTAAATAGAATACCCTCAGTCCTCTTCAAGTTTGATTGGGTTTGCTTTACCAAAACTCACTGCTTTTCAGGAAGACATCCACCCTCTCAGCTCTCCACATACCTGTGGACATTCGGAAATGGTGTGGGGACATTTTCTGTTATAAAAATCTCGGGGGCATTTAGGAAGCTGGCACCAGGAGTGCTGCGTGCCCTTCAGGCGTCCGGAGTCCCAGTGATGAAGGACCATCTGCAGAATCGCCAGTAGCTCCCGTGCAGAAACACCGCAGCGTGAAATTCACATGGAAGGCTGCGTCCAGCCCCTTTCCCCGTCCAGTACCAAAGAGTGAGCCCCAGGCTGCGGGGGATGCACGAGTGGCCACCAAGGGACTCCCTCCACGGGGCATTTTCAGCGGAGTCCCACTTGTGGCTGGAATGCCGGGTCCTGCCTGCAGACCAGCTTGCCTGGATTGGAGGCGGGGATTGGTCTGTGGTGTGGATTCCTGGGGCCCAGGGCATTGTGTGAGCAGTTCTCCCCGTAGGCCGCGAACGATCGCTACTGTCGGTGCCTTCTTTGTAAACCAAGCCCAGATGTAGGTTGTCTGTTCGTTTTACTCATATCTGTTCTTAAAGTCCCCGCTTTGGGAGACTCGTGTTTTGCTATCTACACTAATAAAAGAGAAACATGGTAATTGGCGTACGACCGCTACCCTTCCCATTGGCTAATCAGCATATCCTTATGCAAATTAACTGTCAGCCAAGATGGCGGCCGGCAGCCAAGCAGCTGCAAGCGAACATGAGGCTTGCTTGCTCCAGTGACTGCAGACTCCAACGTTCCCCGCCTGCCTTGCCGGCCTCTGAGCTGGCAGTTTGAAACATTCTAACAAATATAGGCCAGGATCTCAGAGCTGGAGTTATACATTGTTTCGATTATAGAACCGAAACAAACCAAATACCTGCTCTCAGAGCTAGAGCCAGAGCTAAAGCTGGCCCAGAATAAAATAAAAAAAAAGGAGCGGTTGGGAGCTTCAATCAACAACCGCCAGCCTGAAGGCAGCCCTCAGCCCCTCACCCAGACAGGCCAGGCACCCCAGTGGGGACCCCCACCCTGAAGGGAGTGTGACCAGCTGCAAACAGCCATCATCCCCTCATCCAGGCTGGCCAGGCACCCCAGTGGGGACCCCCACCCTGATCCAGGACATCCTTCAGGGCAAACCAGCCGGCCCCCAGGCCTCTATCCTATATAGTAAAAGGGTAATATGCCTCCCAGCACTGGGATCAGCGGAGCAGCGAGGCCTCCTGGCACCGGATCAGCGTGACAGGGGGCAGCACCCAAACCCCCTGATCACCCTGTGGCTCTGTGTGTGACAGGGTGCGGCGTCCCAAACCCCTGATCGGCCCTGCTCTGTGTGTGACAGGGTGCGGTGCCCCAACCCCCCCCCCCCCACACACACACACACACACAGGCCCTGCTCTGTGTGTGACAGGGTAGAGCCATAACCTCCCCATCGGCCCTGCCCTGAGTGTGACAGTGGCTGCGCCCCAACCCCCTGATTGGCCCTGCTCTGTGGGTGATAGAGGGCGGTGCCCTAACTCCCCTATCGGCCCTACTCTGTGCGTGACAGGGGGGGGGAGCTCTCCAACCCCCTGATGGGCCCTGCTCTGTGCATGACAGGGAGCAGCGCCCAATCCCCTGATTGGCCCTGCTCTGTGCGTGACAGGGGGCAGCGCCCCAACCCCCTGATTGGCCCTGCTCTGTGCGTGACAGGGGGTGGGGCTGCAACCTCCCCATCGACCCTGCCTTGAGTGTGATAGGGGGCGGTGCCCCAACCCCCCAATCAGCCCTACCCTGAGCGTGACTGAGGGTGGCATCGCAACCTCCCAATCCGCCCTGCTCTGTGCATGACGGGGCGGAGCCCCAACTCCCCAATCAGCCCTGCTCTGAGCCCGACCAGGGCTGCACCTAGGGATTGGGCCTGCCCTCTGCCACCTGGGAGCAGGCCTAAGCCAGCAGGTCGTTATCTCCCGAGGGGTCCCAGACTGCGAGAAGGCACAGGCCGGGCTGAGGGCCCCCCCTCTTCCCCACCCTGAGTGCACAAATTTTTGTGCACTGGGCCTCTAGTTAGAATATAATATGCCATAAGGGAGAGGAGTGGTAATCTCCTTTCTTAATCTAAGGAATGACGAGCACGTAATTACGCCGAGTAGCTGATCATTTTTGTGTGTCTCTGTTCATCTCAGGAGAGAAACCCTTTATCTGTGAAATCTGTGGCAAAAGCTTCACCAGCCGCCCCAACATGAAGAGGCACCGCAGAACTCACACAGGCGAAAAGCCCTATCCGTGCGATGTGTGCGGCCAGCGGTTCCGCTTCTCCAACATGCTGAAGGCCCACAAGGAGAAGTGCTTTCGGGTGACCAGCCCCGTGAACGTGCCGCCTGCTGTCCAGATCCCACTGACGACTTCCCCCGCCGCCCCCGTTCCTTCCGTGGTGAACACACCCACAACCCCAGCCCCTCCCATCAACATGAACCCTGTCAACACTCTCCCCCCGCGGCCCATCCCCCACCCGTTCTCACACCTGCACATCCACCCCCACCCGCACCACCCGCACCACCTTCCCATCCCGCCCGTCCCTCACCTCCCCCCCCCTCCAGCTCTCTTCAAGAGCGAGCCTTTAAACCACCGCGGCCAGGGCCAGGGCGAGGACAGCTTCCTGCGGCACCTGGCCGAGAAGAACAGCGCGGCGCAGCATCATTAACATCCGTCTCCTAAGGGGTTCTCCACGCTGCGTGCCCACAGGCAGCTGGCGAGCTGGGGGGCATTGCTGCCCTGTCTGCTCAGCCCCGTCAGGAGCTCGTCACTGTCTTGGTGAATCAACACATCGAGGGGACGAACAAGAACACCTGGAGTCACGGAGGGACCCGTCATCCAAACCAGGGGAACCACCAAACTAAAGCCCACTGTGCTTGCATTTTCTGGTGACTTTTATAAATTTCAAACACTCAGACTGTGGAATTTTATAATTTCATATCAGCTGATGAGGTATGCTTGCTTTTCTATCCCGGACGTCTCCTCCAAGAGGGGACAGGCCTGGTTTCCTTTGTACTAATCGGGAAGACTGTGAGGTTAATCCAGAGCATTAATTGTATCACTGTGTATCGTAATGAATTCTTTTCAGCTTTTGGTGCTGGCTACCCAGTTGAGCTAGCCACGTTTTCACAGTATATCAAGCATTATAGAGAAAGATGGAAATTTTCTTCTTTGTGTAGCTCTCCTAACACACTCTTTATTTTACTACAGAAATTATTTTAGAGTTTTTGTATAGACTTCTTTAGTAGTCTGTTTCTAAAATGAAATGTATTTCAATAAGCGGTGTAATTTTTTCAGTGTCGCTGGACCTATGGTGTAAAATAGAAAAAAAATTTATAATCATCAAAATGTGATTCTTAAAGATGCATATAACTTCTATAGTTCAAAGTTACTATTCTTACGTCCGTACAACTCAAAGGTGCTTCAGGGGCTAGATGTGTGAGAGGTCTCCAGACCACGCCACTGCAGAAGTGAGGCTTTGCTTTCAGAACTTGGCGTCAGTCCTGCGTAGTTTTTAATCTCTGCTTAATCCTCAGTGTCTTTGGGCTCACTGACGTGCTCCTGTCCTCCAGGCTTCGTTTGGTTCAGTTCGTGCATTAAATGGACGGTTTGCAGAGTGTGGGGCCTTTTCCAGGGAAGTCCCCGGAAGTGGCCTGTTTCGAAAATCCGAGGAAAGCTGCTCACTGTCCAGAGGAGGAAGTAGTGGGGATGGTCTCATCCCAGTCACGTCTGTTTCTCACTTCCCTTGGAACCGTGACGTGAAGTCTCGTAGTCCACTTCTCATTTTGAGGTCGCTCTATTTTTCTGGAATCGTCAGGAAAAGGTAGCAGCACACCAAGATCAGAAGCGTGGCGGTGAGAGGGCTGAGCAGTGTGGGTGGGAACACAGAGCTGGAGTTTGCCGTGTCTGTGTCACTGCACAGATCCACGGCCGGAGCCCGTTCCCACCGAACTGCGGCCCGGCCTGTGCTCTGCAGGCCTGTCATCACAGCGCGCGTGGGTGATGCGGAGGGCGGCCTCTCTGAGACCTTGCGGCAGGTTCCTTTTTAAGTTTGGAGAACTTTGAAAGCACAACCAACCAGCAGCTTATTGTAGGCAAGGCTGCACAGAAGGGCTAACCATCAATGTACTTATGGATCAAATTCATCCAGATTCAGTACAACTAAAACTTTTGTCCTTTTTCATCTCAGAGAACTGAGTTCCAAAGCTAGGAGTCTCCTTACTTTCTCTCTCCTCCTCTTTTGGTTTTAAAAATTTGTTTATTTAAAAATATATAGACGCTTCATGAGTTTGCGTGTCGTCCCTGTGCAGAGGCAGCGAATCCTCTCGGACCGGTCCTCGCAGCCCAGGTGCTGCCGAAGGGAGCGCTCTTGATTTTGTTAATCCTGAAATGTCTTCGTTTTTCTTTGCTCCGGCTGGTAAGTCATTGCCTGAGTCAGAACCCCGGCTTTTATTTATTTTTAGTAGTAAATCAGCGGACATACTGTAAGCACCTTTCTGGCTGATTAGCTCTGATGAGGGGAAAGTTGAACTTTTTCCATTGAGGTTAAGTCCTATTTTAAAAATACTGCATTCTCTATTCGCTTTTTGGTTTAATATGTCCATTTTCCCCCATTGTGATTGTTGCCTTTGTCTTCTATAATGAGCATAGACAAATTTTTGGAACGAGGCAGAAAAGTATCTCAAAACACACTTTTCTTCCTGGTTTTGGATCTAATTTCTAAAGAATGCTACTTTTGCTACTTTAAATATTTGTATACATCCTTTGAACACCCAGGTACCCAACCGAAAAAGGACAGTTAATTCCCTGTTTGTTCCACCTTTGGTGGCCACCTGATGGCGCTCCCACAGTCTCCCGGGAATTCCATGGCAAGCTTCGGGTCTGCACCTTTATGTGGACATCATTATCTCATGGCCAAGCCTATGATACTCAAATCACTTTTTACTAGAGATGTAAATTGCAGCCCAGTTCATTGGCTATACCTTATTGTATTCTAAATAAACGTACAGTAAAGGGCAGTAATTCTGAATTCTATACTTGAGACCATTGAAGCAACCGTTTTATGAGGTGTACCATGAGTATACACTGGAAAATTCAGGTAGTCATCTGTGATTTCTTTATTCGAGTGAATATAGCCATAAGAAAGTATCTGCTACACAGGAAAGCCGGTATTAAGCAAATAATCACCCCCACCCTTAACAGAAGCAGATTTTTTAAATCAGCACGTCACACAGTACAGTTCTTAGTGAGATGTATTGTGGAACAATCTGAAAACTTCCAATTTCCCCCCACTGTGTAAGTATTCCTTTCCCGGCAGGATTTGTGGTCTTCAGGAAAATTGCCCAAAAGATAACGACTCTTCATCAGTGGCATATTACATAGGAGTAATGAAACGCATTAAGAATAGTCACGACTTGAATGCTTCTGAACATGAGAACTGCAGGATTAAGCCTTAAACATATGTGCACATCAGGTTTAACATGCTTGAGACTCAGACTCAGGGTTGAAAACTTGATTGGGTCCTTTATGAAGATAAAAGTTGCAGTACGTGGTGTGTTCTCTCCCACATACAGTACAGCACCCGTGATTTTTTAAAAACTTATTCCTACTTGCTCTCTGTTTATGGAAAAGGGAACTGTGGAGGAGTTTGAGTTCTCAGCCATTATCTGGACTTAAATCCGTTTTTTAAAGGTAACAGTGGCCACATCTCAGCATTACACAGATACCAAATGGAGGCTGTTTTTCAGTACTTAACTTTATTGTCTTTAAAGCCTTGTACCATTGCTAGGGTCAAGACTTACTTGAGGAAAAGTCCCAAGGACTTTCTTGAGTTGATACTGCTTTTTTCCCATTTTTTTCTCATAGATTTATCATTCAAATATAAACTCTTTCTTAGCCTATTGAAGGGCTGCTTGCTGCTTTCTCATATTAAGTCAGGTCTGCTCATACCAAGTTACATTTTTTAATTTGGAGGATATAAGATGAACAGTTGAAAGGTATGTGGCTTCATTTCCGATTTGATTCTTATTTTTAGCAAGCAGGGAGGTCACCACATAAAACTTTATGGTTACATATGCTTTTCCAGTCTACCACTTACATGAACTGTTCTCTATTAATGACTGACGTTCCTTATAATCCGATTGTCCTTAGTGTACTAACTGGAGGCAAAATATTCTGAAGAGATGCTTGTGAACTTTGAATGTTCTACTTCTTGAACATTTTTCAGTTTTTATGTTCATGAGTGGACATATGTGGTTAGTTTAATTTTTATTTCACTGGAAGTTTTAAATTTTGAGATCAAGCAGAAATAGAAATCCATTGCAGATGTATATATATTTACCCCATCTTGCTGATTTCCGTTAGTGAAACACAGATGGTGGTGGGGTTTTATTGTAAGAAAAAAGAAAGAAAACTAAAGTTAGAGAAACCTTTCTGTTTGAGCTACTGTATAGAAGAGACAGCTTTGATTACATTGTTGATCCACATGATGAACATTTCGATGCTGTTCTAGACTGTGTGGGAAGTATTTAATGAAAAGGGTTAGATTACATTGAAGAATTTTATCAGCTATGTACCATTACAAAAATAAACTCACTTGGAACTCTTCAGACTGTAAAACCCTTCAGACTGTAAAATTTACTGAGAGCAAGTAAATATTGGGTTTTCATTTTCCTTTGCCTAAACCAAGATAAGAAATTTCCCAAAAGGTCATTTTTTCAGGAATGAGAGGTCATTGGCCATTAGAGATAGTGGCATTATTATGCAATACCAGCGCCTACCTAACCTGCTTCTGTCAACGGTAGCGTTTGTAACAGGTACCGATGACCTTCCAACCCTGGGCACTACCTCGTTAAAGCAAACCAGGGATCCTCTCTACACCTTCTATGGAAGCCATAAGAGTCGCCATCAACATCCCCACTTTCCTACTTCTCTACTTTTATACACTCTAGACTTTTTATAGACTTTATGATGAGATCTTTTTGTCTCAGAGGATAGGTTTTGCAAGATTCAAAAGAAAAACTCCTTGGTTGTCCCAACTTTGAAGCTTGAGGCTCAGTACATTTAAATAAAGAACCAGATAATGTACCGTTTATCAAATTCTTCATTTAAGTCAAAACTACTTTGCAGAGTTGCCTATTCAGAAAGCAAACTTTTCTTTCTTATTCCCTAAGTAGATGCTATACTATTATAAGGAGCTACTTACAAAGTGGATTTCTACCTTGTTACTCTGTGTATTACTGGGTGATACATGTATTGTCGCAACGTTTCTGGAATTTTTCTTTCCATGCGGCAGATACATGAATTTACACGTCTCTCTGATCCTCTATTATCTGATCCTCGCACTGTTCCTGAGTGCCTTCAAACAGCCAGCATCCTGGAACATTCTCTTCCTGGTTTAAATCCTACCTCTGATTATTTCATTCTCCAGGAGTATTGAAATTCACCCTATTCCAGTTGGTTTGGCTCTACAAAACAGCTAACACCGTGGACGAGAATTTTGAACGTATTTGTTCTGTTCCCCCATGTCATGTTTAGATTGCATTTTTAACTTTTATTTATATCTTATTTCTTCACATACCACATCTCTAATGATGAAACATTTTATCCTTGTCTCTCTTATTCTTTCTTTCCTTTCACCAGAAACCAGATGTTGTTTTAAGAGGAAAGGTCATTGAGTATCTCTTTTGAACATCTTTTCCTCGTCCTGGTCCTCCTGACGGCCTCCTGTTGCTAAGGGATCCTGAATGCTGCTGTTGCGATACCCTATTCCTGCGTGCCCTTTCTCCCCCAGAAATATTTTACAAGGTTGTACCCATACTTTTATTTTAATCGCATCATTTAAAGGTGCTCTCTGGGTTTATCGTAAGTCCTTGATGGGCTTTTGCCCTGCCTCTCTCATCCTCCTCAAAAACTT